TGCCAGCCCATTTCTACAAACAAATATTATATTTTTAATTGTGTTGGGATTGTCACCTGTGGACATTTTAAACTGTTTTACATATTCGTGCAGAGGCATAGCCTCTAAAGAAAGGTTGTCTCTGCAATGGAAATAGTTGTTCCTGGTGATTAGACATGGCAAGTAAACTTGGACTCGTATCCAGATGAATTTTATATTTTATTAAAATGTAATTCTGCCAGCCCATTTCTACAAACAAATATATACAGATGCAAAAAATTTACCAAATTCAATTTCAAAACTACAAAACGAAACATTATCGTTAAACATTTGAAATAACAACAGGATGGATATGAAAATAATTAAATAATATATCAGTAATAAAGAAAACACCACGGAATTAAAAACTCGACAAACACCTACAGAGATAATACAGGCAAAACTTTTTTATTTTCAAATCTATACATTACTTAGAAAAGCGTAGAAATTAAATTATCAATATATCACAGTGTCGCAGTGGTTTTATTCTGCAATCATTAAATAATAAATAAAATAATTATAAATAATAATAATAAATAATAAAAATAAAGAGTTTTCGAAAATCTAGTAAATGATCCATTGCACGCGATTAGTTAGTAGAATTCTTTTCATTGGATAAAGTACAATATGTAAAATAAAACACGTGATGTCAGATTAGTAGAAAACAGAGAATAGAATAAATTATTCGTACAAAAATGATACATATAGATGCATAATTTATAATAATAAGTAAATCGCATCGTCTCTTAATTCAAGCATATCTTCACTATGAAAAGTTTCATTTTGTTCATCTCCTGCTTGATGGTAATTGGTAAGTTGAATAAATTTTGTTATTTAATTTTGATTTTCAATTTTTTTCATGTTTTGAAATTCACAAAAATTTCATGAATATTTTGCAAAGAACCCAAATGTTATAAGAGTTTACATCAAATTTATATCTTCATAATTTTATGTACTCTATTTAAAAGAAGGCTGGTTTCCATAACATTAACATAAAACGTAGTGATTTGCATTGAGAAGCAGACTGCTCATTGTGGGTAAAATTATATAGTTTATTGTAAAATAAGCGAATGCGAGACAAACACTGTTTTTAAATATAAATTTATTGTAAAGGTAGAAATAAGGTTTTTTGAGTTCACTTATTTATTACTTTTCTGTCTGTTATACGTATCAGAAGGAAAGTATGGCGATTAGTAAAAATGAACCCCTCAAAAATTCTACATTTTCGACTTAATTAGCGCACATTAAAACGACGAGAAATGCAAACAAATTCGTTTTTTTTTCTATATATATGGATAATAGTGCGTGTGTTTTTATGTTTGTGTGTGGGAACCCAATTTCGTTTACACTGTTTAAAGCTCAATAATTCATGTACTATTTTTGAAAATTTTCTGAAAGTTCCCCAGGTTTGTTTATTACGCGGATTATTGCTATTAAATTTTGCTGATTAACGATAGAAAGAGTGGAAATTTAAAAAGAATCGTGTGTATCTCCAGTAGGATCAGACTTATTACACTTTTACTCTTTATTATTATTGAGAGTTTTTTTTTATATAGCCCATCACTACTATATAAATTAAGCCTTTTGCATTTATAATAGTTATAGATATAAAAAAATTTAAAATAAAATATGATAAGAGATGCAGCCACGAAAAGTTGTTGAGAAAGTTTGACAACTGGTTGTTTTCTACCTGCGCTGTTGAGTTATTGATTCGTACAGACATAGTAAAAGTTACTGGCTAAACTAATTTGTACATTTATGTTTTTGCAGATGTATTCGTAGAAAGTAAAGATGGCTTCCCACTTGATAGCAATGGTTGCAAAATTAGCTGCGATAATAACGATTATTGTGAAACTCTGTGCAAGTCAAAAAAGGCAAACACAGGCTATTGCACTTCATCGGTGATGAAATGTTATTGCGAAGGTCTTCCATCAGATGTTGACGCCTCGGACGACCCTACTGAAGATTGCAACTAAATGTAGAGAAAAGCTATTGATTTGTATTGAAGAACAAGTGCTTTTATGTAATGTTACACTGAGTAAACAAAATATAAAGAATATTGCATTCTAATTTTTTTTATTACCTTCGTGATTTGTATCAAATTTTATAGTTTTAATACAATTTTTTATATTATTAATTTAAATACGTTTATATATATATACAGTATAAATGTTTATATAAGTGTACCGTCTACAAAAGTGTATACATATACAAACATTTATACCGTATATATCAGCATACTTTATACCGCATGCTCAATACAACATGATTATACAAGAATTATTACAAAATTAAATTTACTATCATATATTATGAAAACTATGACAGTACATTTATTCTTACTAATGAAATAAATATAAAAAATAAACTAAATATATGATGGTATAAAATTTCAATAAGAAGAGAGATAAAAATAAAATCAAATACTTTGATATTAGGACAGAAAGAAAATATAAATTAATTAATTAAAGTTTAAAATGTATAAAAACGAATACGATATTTAAAATATTTAATAAAAAATTAGCTCCTACTTTATAAAAAAAAATTAACAAATAGAATATTTACTAAACAGGAGCAGTTATTCTTTCAAATGTCGTCACGATTCCGAGGTGCAATTTTTAATATAAACGATATGCTGTCTACCTCAAAATAATACATTAGTGTCTTTCCTTTCTACATCATAGATTTTCACCAGCATAGATTCGTGCGGTATCTTTCTAACACTTTTCAGGAAAAAAGTATGGCGAATAACCAAAAAATGCTTACCTTGTAACTTCGAGAAATGCAAAAGGTTTTTTTTTCTATATTCATGCATATTAGTGCATAAATACAAAAAAATAACTTGCGTGCTTTTTATCGGAAATTTTTGAAATTTCGCAACGATGTGTTATTTTCAAAGTAATTAATATTGTTAAATTTTGGTAATCAAAGGTCGAACGGGTGGAAAGATAAAAAATAATCAAACGCCAATACAGTAAAATTTAATGCCGATTTTACACGTTATTAACATTAACAATTTTTTTTATAAAACTTATCCCTATCCTGAAAATTAAACTTTTTACAACTTTATAATACTGCAATTAAAAACCAGTTTTTTAAATAGAATATGGCTGGAATTTTAACCAACTCGTTGATGAATTTTTTTTATACAGTAGAACCTCGAAAACTCGTCCCTCGATAACTTAGCACTCCGGATAACTGGTCCACACCTTGGCAGGGCGAAAAAATCCTTAGTTAATTAATTTTCATTTTAGACAGCTTTATAAAAGTATAAAAGCTCTCATAAAGTATTTTTCTGAGGTCTGTCTTATCAGGTAAATTACTGTACACAGTGTATTCATTAATTTTCATTTTCATGTAGTGGCTCTATGCCTTCATAAAGGACGTACTTTTCCTTTGTTTAAGGGTATTTGGGCAGTTTATTCTCTGTTATATTCTGTACAAGTAAATACTGTACAAGTACAGTACAGTATTTTCTGAGGAAATACTCNTTTATTATAAAGTAATAAAATGATCCATCGTTTTTTAATTTTATTTTTCTTCTAAATTTTTAAACGCATGGTTTAAAATGATCAAAATACAAAGTATCAAATATCTTCGATTATAACGTTTTTAATCTACCATAACTTAAAATGTAAAAAATTATTCTTACGTCTTCACGTATGAACCAAAAGAAACACCATACAAGACTTTATTTTAATTGACAAAATTCTTTATGAAATTTTCTTTTGTATAAATCCAACAAAGTTGCAAAAATTTGTCAGAATAATGACTTTCAAAAATAAATAAACGTTTGTGTGTTTTAAAGTATATTTAATTTGGTAAATTTTTTGAAATATAAATAGACGAATGAAAATAATTTTCAAACTCTGCAGTTTGAATATACGATTGTTTTACAATTATTATTTTCTTATTACAAGTAGAATATAAAAAAAAAAATTTTTTAATGGCACGTGGAGTGCTGGACCTTGTAGTATAAAATTCTGTAATCTCTTGCTTCTGGATTAAATTAAAATGATGATAAGTTTGAAAATATTCATCATTACTAATATGAAAAATTCATCAACAAGTTGGTTAAGATTCTAGGGTGCTTTTGGTTGTGCCATCTGTTATCATATTCTATTTAATAAAATGGTTTATAATTATTATGAAGAAGTAAAAAGTTTAACTTTTAAATTAGGGGTGGGTTTATAAATTATTGTTAATGTTAACAACGAGTAAAATCGCCATTAAATTTGACTCTGCTGGAGATACACCCTTTTAACTCCAACTCTTTCAATGTTTAACCACCAAATTTTAATAGTATTAATTTTCCTTATATTCAAATTTCGTTGCAAATTTCAGAAATTTTAGAAAATAGCACCGTGCTTATTAAGCTAAAAAGAAGATGAAAAACATCACGTCCTCCCATCTTAGTGTAAAAATGTAAAAATTTTCGTCTTTCTTTCGGTAATATAGAACTATTTGGGATGTAAAAATACACGCAGATTTCGTAAAATAAAATAAGACATTGTTGCAATATTGAACAAATCGCCAAATTTGTTTCAATCATATTGTAAATCACGATGATCGGGGTTGTAAAAATACACGCAGATTTCGTAAAATAAAATAAGACATTGCTGCAATATTGAACAAATCGCCAAATTTGTTTCAATCATATTGTAAATCACGATGATCGGGGTTTCTAGAGGCGTATTAACATATATACAGTTTTTTTTTTTTTTTTTTTTTTAATAAAATACTGAGTCTTTTTAATTCCATATTGATAAAACAAAGATTAGTTGTACATACATTAATTAGATGAATGATAACACTTTCTAAATAATGGTTTTGTTAGATCATTGCTTCTGGTTGGATAGAATGCGACATAGTCATTATGAAAAGATTAAAAAAAAAATTTATTATAGAAGTGTCACGATGAGGCTAACATTTTTTAAAATTTAAATTTTAAATTTAATGAAGTGAGTTTAGAATTTTCCATTTGCCAAAATATTTAAAAATGCAATTTAAGGGAAATTTCATTGTCGAGCATGAGCATCACGTAATCACTGACCAATGCAACCACAGATCTGAAATCAATAAAGCATTTATTCTATAGCTAATATTTCTGCAAAATAAGTAGCCTATAATTTTCCATCAGAGCATAAAATGAATATAACCAAAATTTTATCTGGATTGGACAAAAATTGTAAGAGTTATAGGGAATTCACCCACACACACGAGAGCTTTTTTATTAGTAACTAGTTGCAAGTACCTGTTTTGCTGGGTTTTTATTTGTTTGTACATTTATATGTAATATAGTTTTTTTACATAAAAGACTGTTAATCTTCCACTACATAAGCTTTCTCTGATTCGATGTGTTTCCCTATAATTTTCAAGTTGCTCTACTGTTTGATTATTTCTGTTTCTATATGATTCGAGACCGCAAAAATTCTTACACTTTGGCATTGTTTTTATATTTTTACTTTTCACGCTTCACTATTCACTTTTCACTTTCTACTTTTTCTGTTATTCATGCACTTTTACTAATGAAAAATCAACTGAAGCATGTGTGTTACACGTCTCCAAAAGCCATCCCCACTACTCACACATAACAGTCCTCGACTAATCCAAAACATTTTCGATTATTCGAAAATATTTAAGATTAAGATTACATTATAGCCAATCTTACACATTTTCACAGAATGCAAGAATTAGGTCCCCTTTTTCTAAACAAATTAGAGAATTTTTACATGGATCAAAAAATATGTTTGATTTCTTGCAAAAACGCAAAAAACCACATCTGTGCCTGTGAATCGTGCACGCTGCTTTCTCTTAACACTTCCATTGTTTACACTTCCATTATTGACACTTCCATTGTTACACATTTTAGAAGTCAATCACTTTCAACCCCATATCTCCCATACCCTTATAGCTATTGAGATGCAACCATCATAGTGCACGATGGGAGACTTGGGGCTACTACCAAACACAAACACCATTCATGTGTGATGTGTAGTTTTGTCTGCAGAGTGAAATATAGGGACAAACATGTCCATTTTTATATCTATGACTGTTAAAATGGATGACGGTCGAAGACTGTTATGTGTGAGTAGTGGGGATGGCTTTTGGCAAAGTGTGACGCACATACTTCAGTTGATTTTTCATAAGTAAAAGTGTACAAATAACAGAAAAAAGTAGAAAGTGAATAGTGAAGTGTGAAAAGTAAAAATATAAAAAACAATGCCAAAGCATAAGAAAGAATTTTTGCGGTCTCAAATCATATCGAAACAGAAATAATCAGTCAGAAGAGCAACTTGAAAATTATAGGGAAACACATTGAATCAGAGAATGATTATGTAGAGGAATAGAAACAATTTTTTATATAAAAAAAACTATATTACATATAAATGTACGAACAAATAAAAACCCAGCAAAGTGGGTACTTGCAGCTAGTTTTAAAATAAAGACTGTGTATATTGACCTTAATCTTTTTAAATTTGATGTTCAATATTTAAGAGGTCAAGGTTAAGATGATGATGCAGCTATGCTGGGTGCATAACATGAGATGTAAACAATAATTATGAAGAAATGACCTGTAGAATTATGAAGAATTAATTATGAAGAAATGTAGTCATTTACATTCATTGCATTTCACATTGTTTAAATTTGGCGATATATAAATCCAATGATGCTCAAGATATTAATAATTGCATTTCAGTGATAGAAGACATATATAATATCACTAATAAATCAAAAAGAATTGCAGTGTTGCAAGAAAAATTTCCAGAAATATGTCCCACACCAAAATGATTGTCATTGAAACAAATGTGTCAAACTCAATGGGTTGATCATCTTGATTCAGTTATGGTAATGGTTGAGCTTTTCATACCACTGTTTAGATTATTAGAAGTTATTGGAAATTGAAGAGATAAGGACTTGTGTAAGGCTAAATGCTTTAAGGAAATCAAAATTCATTTTATTGTTCTTGACAACAAAAGTAATTCAATCATAATCAT